GCAGAGCCAACTTCGTATAAACACTCTGCAAAATCACTGAAGGGAAATACTTTGCAGTCTTCACCCAGCTGTATCTCTGGGTATTAGACACAGAAAAACCACGTCTTGGGATCTTGCAATATTCAGGTTTTTCAAATGCTATTTATACATATGAAAGCAATCTTGCTGGAATGTATGAAAGTACTCTCTGGCAGGGTATTAGGATAAATTCAACCTATAATAGTATCTTCTGCATGATTAACTTGAGAGGCTTTTAGGTCACTCTGTATAACATCCATAGAAAGTGATCCACTGCTGCTTGGCAGATCAAGGGCTGTTCACACTCACTCTTCCAGGCATCTTACTCAAGTGTGACTAGAAGCATCTAAAATGAGGAGTGTAAGGGAATGTTCCTATCATCTAATCTGGGCTCCTAACTTAGTTGTCTAAGTTGGGCATCTAGGGTTTAATTATGCATCCTGGTCCCTCTGTACAGTGAAGGGAGAGCTCCAGCAGGCTGTTCTTAGAGAATCTGAGCCAAGTTTTTTGTTAGAGACCTGAACTTAGAAGAGCATCCATCCCTGGCAGTGTTCAGGGCCAGGCTGGACGGGGCTTGAAGCAACCTGCTCTAGTGGAAGGTGTCCCTGCCCATGGCAGGGGGTTGGAATTGGATGAGTTTTAAGGTCCCTTCCAACACAAACCAGTCTGGGATTCTATGTTCCAGACATGAAAAAAGGTTATATGAGTTTGAGGTGCTCAGAAGATGCTCTTTTCCACCCGCACTGGGCTGTTACGAGCAATAGGTCAGGGAAGACTCGGGCTGTGTTTCTGCCCAGTCTGTGTTATTTCCAGCCCCGATATGTAGATCAGATCCTCAGCTGTTGCAGACCAGTGTACCCTCAGGAACTCCTTGGGCCTCCCACATTGTACACTGGCATAGAAGGAAGCCCTCTGTGCTCCAGTCAGGAGCGAGAGTTGTTCTCTCCAGCTTTTCCACTATAGCTAAAAGAGCTTTTGCTCAGCAGGCACTCTGCCATGGTCCTGCCAGAGTTCTGTGTTCTTGTCTGAGGCAAGGACACAAGCAGGCAGTGCTTGGAGTTCAGATATCCATGGAAACCCCAGTGTTTAGCAGAAAGGGGTGGTTTTGCTTGCATTAATTGTAGCAGAAAAGAGGTGGCTCAGGAGGCCACTGGTGGCTGCCAGGACTGCCTGTTCAATGAAGCACCCTGTGCTTGCCTTCTAAAGTTGCATGAGTAGATCAGCTCTCCTCATTAAGCCTGGTCCTGTCCCATGGCCCCTGGGTCCACTGGAGAACCTCAGGTTCTGGAATGCTTGGGCTGTGGAAAGGAGCATGCCCCAAAAGGGGCAACAGAGAGGATATCCAGACAGACCCTAACCCACTGGCAGGGTGTGAGGGAAAGAGGAGAAGGGAAGGGGAAAGGGGGGGGGGGGAAAGTGAAAATGGAAAGGGGAAAGGGGGTGGAAAGTGAAAATGGGAAGAGGAAAGGGGGGAGGGAAGTGAAAATGGGAAAGGGAAAGGAAGAAGGAGAGGGAGAGGGAGAGGGAGAGGGAAAAGAAAGAAAAGGAAAAGGAGAGGAGAGGAAGGGAGAGGAGAGATTAAAGAATAAAGGTCTATTTCAGAAAGTTCATATGTGTGTTAGAAGCCAAAACCTCCCTTCATTTGTCTGAGCACAAGTCAGCTGCAGCAGGGACAGTGAAAGGCAAACTCAGTCTTAAATGTTTTGTTTAGCTGCTAGTTTAAACATTTGAGCATCATGTTCTTTGTGACACTTACAAACAAACAGCCCAGTTGCATTACCAGCTCTGAGGAGCTTTCACCAACTCTGCCTCTCCTTCTGCTTCTCATAGGGTTTATATCTCACTCCAACATCAGAGAACAGGGTGCCACACACCTGCTTTCCATCTAGAGCATCTCTGTGCTGGAGTTGTGGCACTGGCAGAGCAGATGGGGGCTTGTGGTGCTTGGTGTGCACTAGCTGAGCCCTCAGCTGCTGTGCCTGTATAGCACCAGGCAGAGCCTTGCAAGAGCTGCAGCTGATCCACAGGAATGCAGGACAGTGCAGCAAGTGGAGCAGGACCTGGGAGCAGACACTTGTACCTGTCAGAGGTGTGATGATCCCATCCCATCCCTGACACCCAGCGGGCTGCAGGGATGTGCTCCGGATCGTGTCACCTCATTGGAAGCAATGCTGAAAGAAGGCTCCGTTCCCATGCAGGGAAGCAGCATGGTGTGACCATGCAGGGAAGCACACAGGGCTCTCTGGCTGGGGTGATGCTGGGCTGCCCCGACACCCCTTCTGGGCAGAGGCACCCCTGGGTGAGGGGACATGCATGGCCCACTCCAGGCTTCCTTTGGTCAGGGATTTCTGAAGTTAAAGTGCATAAACCACAGGCATGGGAACCAAGTTCAGAAGGCCACTGGCAGCTTTAGATGGGTGGAATTATAGTAAAGCTGCTTCAGGAAAGCCAGTTCAATGAAAGCAGGGTAGTTCCAACCCAGATCTGCCCTTCTCAGCAGGGATGTTGGAAAGCGTGCTTTGCCCAAGCACAGGTGGAACCCCACATCCCCGGCAGCGGGGTAGCCCTTCTGCCATCCGATTTGCAGTGATGAAGCACTGGGTGAGAGTAAGGCTCAATTGTGCTGGTTCATGAAGGGTCAAACTGCTGCGCAGCTAATCCCTGATTTATTAAGGAACAGTTCTTTCTTCTCCCATCACATCACTGCCGATGGAAGAGCAGCAGGCAGAAGTAACACATCGTAGATTCATAGGCTCACACTGACATTTCATGAACAGCAGAGAAAGGACCAAATACAAAAAAAGAACCCAAACTGGCTCCAAGTTGATGATTTATACTGTTTTCTCAGGGTCTGTTTGCCAAGCAGCTGGTGTTTTGTGCCAATTGCTGTTACAGAAGAGCTTTCTTTGATAGGTACCATGAATGGACACTACACAGTTTATCTTAAAACAAAATCCCTCCCCACAGCTTATATGGGCTGGCAGGGAATGAGGGAGAGAAAAAGTCGGGCTTTGTTGGGGTTTTCTTTACACAGGACTCTGAAAGCACATTTGGGGGAGCCTGCGTTATCTGTGCAAGAACACAACAGACGAATTCTATTAATGGCTGTAACATGTGGCCGGGTTCAGGCTAGAGTTGTCGTTTGAATATAGGAGTCAAAGCCAATTTATTGTAACATATTTTTCTTTTCAAAATATTTTAAGAAAGACAAAAAAGTTTGCGCAACAACTTGGCAAGCAGGTCCGTGGAGGGGAAGGAGGTATTTTCTACATCGCAGCTAACATAAGGGCTGAAAAATGTGGCACTGCCGAGCAATGCTGGATTCCTTCTGGAACTGAGAGAAAGTGTGCGGGATATAATTGTGTAAGAGCCCAATAAATTCTGAAGGGTGGGTTTGTAACACTGCCCTGGGGGCTGCAGGTGGCTCCAGAAGAAAGTCATGGGTTTTATTTCAGGAACAGTCATCAAATGCTGTATGTAGCCAGCTATGCACTCATGTGGCCCCATCTAAAAGCCACAGAACTGTTTTAAAATAGAAATACCCATAACAATCATTGTATGTCTTCCATGGCAGATGGTAGAAAGATAAGTTGGAGTAGTTTGTGGTGTGTGTGTGTGTTACTGGGGGTGTGCAAAAGCTAAGGCACAGAAATGAGCTTCCCTGGAGCTTGCAAAGTGGTGAGCATCAGTGCTCCATGGTCTTCAGGGCATGGGTAGGCTTCACCTCGCCATTGCTTATTTCACTGCTGGTCAGTCTGTATTTCCCAGGATACCATGGTTGGAAATGGCCATGTAGCAGAACTTTACTTAAGTAACAGACCAGACCCTGGCACTACCCCTTGTTATTGAGAGAACCACTGTATAACAGCAAGCACCAGAACCCAGCTGTGGATTCCTGTGTGCAGGGCAAAAATGCTGCTGCATCTATAGAGAATTTTGTGGTCGGGTTCCTATGATGAATTGCAACAAAGTGGAGTCATAGAAATGATGTTTCTCATAATAGTTGAGACCTCCCCAGTGTATCCTATTTTCTTTGTAGCTGGGTGGCTAAGGAATACCTGACTATCCAGTGATCCAACACAGGCTGAGTATTTTTGTCTGTGCACTGCGAAAGCTACTTCCTAGATTTGGTAAAAGACCAAGTACCAAACACTGGTGGAGCAGACAGAAAACATAGTGCTCCCTAGGGAAACCATGGCTGAAAGAAAACAAGTAGCATATTGTCATCCCATGTTTGTTCTCATCCTATGCGTGTGTGGTTTGAGTCCCCAGGTACTCTCCCCATTGCCTTCTGAGATGAGTTTTTGCCATCCCTTCCTCAAGAAGCTGCACACAGGGAAGAGGAAGCAGATCTAGATCCATCACAAAGACCAGGGAGACCTTGAAGCACTCTTCAAAGTCCTGTCCAGTTACACATTCATTTTACCAGGGAAGTTGGTAAACTCTAAGCCTACTTAATCCTGCCACTAATGGGAGTCCATTGGCAGTCTCTCAGAGGTAATGGGGCAAATGAAAGCAGCACCATTCACCCCACTGGGAAGTAACAAGGCTTCTGTGTTTTCCAGGAATAGATGCCGCTTCTAGCAATGAGTCTGTAACTTCTCACTGCTGCTTACCAGATGGTGGGAACCAGCAGAAGCCGAGTTGGCTCCCTTGTGGTCAAACAAACAGCCATAGGGCCCGATGCAAGTTTCCTGAAGGATCCCCAGCACGGCCCCGTTACTTCTGTTAATGTTTCTCTGGCTCCTGGTACAACACTGAGGTTTTCCACTGGAACCACCTGGCACGTTTTCAGAGCCTTCCATGAGCGATGCAGTTACTCAATCCCCTTCTTATTTTGACAAAGCCTTTGTAATGGTCACTTGTCCTGAGAGCCTGTGGTCTGTGTCCTGTACTGGAGCTAATTGCATAAAAAGGATTACTTCCCTTTCTTGATGCTTGTTATTATTTTCATCCTTCACAAGCCATTTCTTCTGTTTCAGGATCAACACTCTGTGGTAGGCCAGGGAGCTGGCCCCACTCCAAGCTCCAGTTCTTGCTCAAATCCAAACACTGGAAGTGGTTACATGAACTCATCCCAGCAATCAATGTTGAATCAGCAACTGATGGAAAAGAAACAGGCTCTGCAGCGGCAAATGATGGAGCAAAAACAACTCCTTCTACAGCAGCAGATGTTGGCAGAAGCCGTAAGTTTTCTAATTCCTTCTTTTACATGGAAAAGATTATCATAGAAACAATAGAAAAGAAAGCTAAGACAGGGAGAAGAAAGCCCCCAAAACTTTGAGGTCATTTTGGCAATGCCTAGGCCTTCTAGAGTGTGCCTCATGTTTTTCAGCACTTTGCTTAGCCCTTTTGAAGCCTTCTTAAGTTTATATGAAACAACTCAAGTATCCAAGCTACTGTGGTTTTGTTAGGAGAACAGTCTAAGCATATGCTTAATTTGAGGCATATGAATATTGTCACTGGCTTTCTTTGCAAGATAATCTAAGGTGCATTGCTATGCTACTGTGACCACAGAGGATGGCTGGGATGAGTTCTTCTTTCTCTATTCTTCTTTTTGCATTTCCAGATATTTACAGCCAGTTGTTCTCTCTTCTTTGGTATCTGAGAGACCAGTTGGGAGTTTCTGGTCATTTTAGGAGGCATGGGGGGTATTTGTGGTCTTGCTGGCAGTGATATGTGCTAGAACCCACTAGTTTAGTTCCACTAAACCGACATTGCCATTGATATTGCATGAAGTGAGTCAGCTGAAGGTGCTTCATGTGCCATCACGCATGGCCAGTGCAATGGGGCAGACTCCCTGTTGCCAAAAGCAGTAGCATGTGCCCTCTGCATCCTCATATTCACTGTTCCTTGGTAGCCCTACTTGCCAAAGCATGGAGAAGAAGAGAGGTCCTGGAAGAGGAGCTGAGCTTGGCATGACCTTGAGGCAGGCAGAAAGCAATGTGGGAGCCTTGTGGAAGCCAGGGAAGGGCTGCAGAGAGAATGCTTTGTTTCCCCAAGGCTGCAATGGCAACACACCCCAAGCCTGTGGCTTATTTACCTCGACCTGCATCTCTCAGCCTACAGGACAGACCCATTTATGCTGGCCTGACATTTTGAATCCAAAACTTTCTATTCTCTGGAAAGATGTAGACACAATAATGCTGACACATTTAATGAATGCCATTCATTAATTACAGAACAACACAGAACTGGGAAAACGTTCATGTGTTTATGGGGATGTTTTCTAAACAAAAATTATTCAGTTTTTTTAGAGAATATATTTTTGTTTACAAATTTATTGCCATTCAAAAAGAAAAATATTCATTAGAAAGCTTGGCTTTGAAATTAAGGATTTTGTTTATCCAGAGAAGTTGTGGATGCCCCATCCCTGAAGTGCTTGTACTCCCTATGTAAGAGGAAAGACAGCACCATGTACATGTAAGGGGAAGCAGAGAGCAATGGTCAGTGGCATGAAAACCAACTGGAACAGCACTGTCCTCCCAGTGGTTTTAAGAAAAGTTAGGCCAGACTAAAAACATGCAGCCAGCAGAAAAGTTTCCGTACAAACTTCAGTGGGTGAGGGCACAGGTTCCCAAATGCATCTCCTGTGGACCAGAGAGGGTGAAAGGAAGAAATACACCAGATTTGTACATCCTGAGAAAAGAAAGAGGTGGGCAAACACAGAGCCAGGAAAGCATAAAGCAAAGGAAATTGATGTATTTCTACTCTAATCCTCTAGGAGAAAATAACTCCACAAGATCAGCTGAACAGACACTTGACACGACCACCACCAGATTATAAAGACCAAAGAAGGAATGTGGTCAACATGCAACAAGCAAACCAATATCCTGGTAAGTGCCCATGGGCTAAATAAAGCTATTTCCTTCCTTCCCTTCCCTCCCTCCCTCCCCCCCCCCCTTTCCTTCCTTCATTCCTCCCTTCCTCCTTCCCTCTCTCCCTCCTTCCTTCCCTCCCTTCCAGCTGTAAGACCATCCAGAAGAGCCATGTCCTTATTTTCTGGGGATCCATCTACACCGCTGCAGAGGCAGTGTGTGTGTAGTGTGGTGGCTGCTGCTCTCATGTGCTATTTACCTTACCATCCCACACCACTGAGAGGTGCTGATGTATGATCTGGAGAACCAGCTACTGGCCGGTCCAGGCTGACGCTGCATCTCTCAGACATGGAGAAGGAGGGGCTGGTACCCTTCTCATTAGCACTGCCTGGGGCAGGCGTGCACTCAAGTACTTGATACTGAGGTCTACCCTTGGCTATGCAGCCTCACCCCATCCAGATAGCTTCTCTCGTGTACATGGTACATCTTGTTCAGAGACTGAAAACCATCCCTCCCTTTAAATGGCAGCCCATGTACAGTATGAGGACCCTCATACTGATTGTACTGATGTACCTTGCATGACAGCATCAGGGGCAAGCAGAGCAAACAGTCCTTTTGGTCTGTTCAATATGCCACAGTCATAGCCTCAGTGCTGTTCTACAAGCAGCATTTCATCAGATCAGTCTAACAGAGGAGTAAAAGCTGCTACTTTCTACCAGAACTGCCCAGGGCAGAAAATGTCCAACACTTCAGGACTTTGTTCCAGCACTTGTGCCCTTGCCCCCTTGGAGTCCAGTTTTGGGAGCACAGGACTGCCTGTTTCGTGCCTTTCATGCTGTTCACCTTGCTGGTTAGCTGAAGGCTGCACTGAGAGCAAAGGCAGAGTAAGGGAAAGATGCTGGGGAGATGGAGGAGGTGGGGGAAATGCAGCAGATGGATCAAAGGATGTTCTTTATACCACAGAGCGTCTGTGCATGTAAGTATAAAAAGGATCCTTTGCCTTCTAGTGAATCTTTTTATACAACACACTGAGGGGAAAAAAGGATGTTTTGGTTTGTTTGTTTTTTGATAACTGTTGGCTCTGCAGATTCAGCCAGGGATCTGAGTCTTTCCTTCCTACCTGTCATTTGTACCATTTCAGCTCCTATTATGAATTTAATGAGCTCCCAAGTGCAGCTCACTCACATCCTACTCCTTTGCCCAGCATCCTGCCCCTCTGCAGACCTTGGCACCGACAGCCCAGCTACACGTGGAAGGGCTGCTCAGGCAATGTTCATGCTCTCCTTTGCTTTGCTTACAAGTTCTAGCAGCAATAAACCTGCTGCATTCTGGAAACGGCTGTTTTCTTACAGGCCTGAGTATTTATTGTGTAAGTTTGCACAAGCATCACTGATGCAAGGTAATAATGGATAGTGAGGGCAGAAAGAGCCCTGCTTGCTGGCTTGGTACCTCCTCTGCTCATAAAGCAAAAGCTTTGGCAACCCCAGCAATTTGTTGGGGAATCCTGTGATTTGGTGTGTTGTTTAAAGGTTCATTCCTGGAACCAAATGACTAACCGAGCCAGTTAGACTCGCCTCTATGCCTGGCAGCATCATGGAGCAGATTCTCTTGGAAACCATGCTAGGGCACATGAAAAACAACAAGGTGCTTGGTGACAGCCAGCATAGCTTCACTAAGGGGAAATTGGCCAAACTGACCAATTTGGTGGCCTTCTATGATGGGGCTACAGAACTGATGGACAGGGGTAGAGCAGTTGATGACACTGTCCCACACGACATCCTTGTCTCTAAATTGGAGAGACATCAATTTGATGAATGGACCACTCGGTGGATAAAGAACTGGCTGGATGGCTGAACACAAAGAGTTGTGGTCAATGGCTCAATGTCCGGCTGGAGACCAGTAATGAGTGGTGTCCCTCAGTGATCAGTGTTGGGACCGGTCTTGTTTAGCATCTTCGTCGCTGACATGGACAGGGGGATTGAGTGCGCCCTCAGCAAGTTTGCCGATGACACCAAGCTGTGTGGTTCAGTTGATACGCTGGAGGGAAGGAATGCCATCCAAAGGGACCTTGACACGCTTGTGAGGTGGGCTGATGCCAACCTCATGAAGTTTAACCATGCCAAGTGCAAGGTCCTACACCTGGACTGTAGCAGCCTTCCAGTATCTGAAGGGCCCCACAAGGATGCTGGAGAGGGACTCTTCATCAGGGACTGTAGCGATAGGACAAGGGATAATGAATGTGTTTAAACTTAAACAGGGGAAGTTCAGGTTAGATATAAAGAAGAAGTTCTTTACTGTGAAGGTGGTGAGGCACTGGAATGGGTTGCCCAAAGAAGTTGTGAATGCTCCATCCCTGACAGTATTCAAGGCCAGGTTGGAACAGAGCCTTGGGTGACATAGTCTAGTGTGAGGTGTCCCTGCCCATGGCAGTGGGGTTGGAACTTGATGATCTTAAGGTCCTTTCCAACCCAAACCATTCTGTGATTCTATGATTCTTGGCTTTTACTTAAAAACAACTCATTTCTAGCCCAAAAGGGGAAATGGAAATTACTGCAGCCACATCTTTGAAAGGCTCCAAAATAAGTAGATCACCATTGTTATGTGGCTCTTCTTGTCGTTCCTAATCTGATGGACTCTTTGCCAGTCTTGTGGTATTTGGAGCCCCATCTCCTGCATTTGAACCATGTGGGATTGGCAGCACTTGTCCATTCAAATCTGCAGTCCCTGATGAGTGAGCCCAGGGAGGACAGCAGCTTTTTGGGAGAGCCTGAGAGAAAGGGCTGTGCTGGAAGCTCACAGCACATCTACCAGATGGAGCGATTAGGAAACTCTTGCATAAGGGAATAACAGCAGGGAATCTGTTCCTTTTTCTGGGAATAGCTTTGTTCAGGTCATGGAAGAAGAGACAAGAAGTTGAATAAAATAACATAGTGGCTCGGTGACACTTGGTTAAGCTTTTTATTGCTCTCTGCTTTTCACGATGCTGCCATGGTGAAAGAAACCCCAAGACAAGAGCAGGTGAATCGGGCACGGAAGGCATTTCTGGGAATGGCTGCAGCCTGGGGTGCCCAGCTGCTGAGCACAGCGCTGCCAGGGAAGCGTTTCTTCCCATCTGGAAGAAATCAGGATGGAAAATATTTGCGTTAAAAATAAAAAAGGATAAAAATAGCAATGCAAAGAAAGGGGAAGCTTCGTCTGTTGCACAACAAGTACAACCCACGTCCTGACCGCTTGTACTCTTTAAGGAGAGTGGCATTGGCAGGGCAGTGTGATGGTAGCCCTGGGATCACCCCAGGAGGGGCTTCATGCCAGTGGCAAGTGAAGGGACTAAACAGACTTGTAGTTCAGATGGGGGGAGAGAACCAGCTCTCCCCAGATGGCTGTTCCAGGTCTCCTGAAATGTCACTGATTCATAGGATCATAGAAAAGTTAGGGATGGAAAAGACCTTAAGATCATCCAGTTCCAACACCCCTGCCATGGGCAGGGACACCTCACACTAAGCCATGTCACCCAAGGCTCTGTCCAACCTGGCCTTGAACACTGCCAGGGATGGAGCATTCACAGCCACCCTGGGCAACCTATTCCAGTGCCTCACCACCCTCACAGTGAAGAACTTCCTTAAATCCAATCTAAACTTCCCCTGTTTAAGTTTAACCCATTACCCCTTGTCCTGTCAGTACAGACGCTAATGAACAGTCCATCCCCAGCGCCCCTATAGGCCCCTTCAGATACTGGAAGGCTGCTATGAGGTCTCCATGCAGCCTTCTCTTCTCCAGGCTGAACAACCCCAACTTTCTCAGCCTAGCTTCATACGGGAGGTGCTCCAGTCCCCTGATCATCCTCATGGTCTCCTCTGGACTTGTCCCAACAGTTCTGTGTCCTTTTTACATTGAGGACACCAGGACTGCACACAATACTCCAGGTGAGGTCTCAGGAGAGCAGAGCAGAGGGGCAGGATCACCTCCTTCGACCTGCTGGTCACTCTCCTTTTGATGCAGCCCAGGATACGGTTGGCTTTCTGGGCTGCAAGTGCACACTGAAGCCGGTTCATGTTCATTTTCTCATCGACCAGCACCCCCAAACCCCATTCCTGTGCTGGCACAAGGTAGCAAACAGTCAGGGACCCCATCTCTGTCAAAAAGATGTGCCAGTATTTCCAGAAAGCAGTGAACAATGCATAAGGCACTAGCAAAGCCAAAGACAGGGCTAACTGTGAGGGTTGCTGAGCCCTGATTGTATCTGACTGTCCTTGTTGGGGTAAAACCAGGTGGATCCTCATAGCATCTCCTGTCCCAGGGACTGCCCAGCCTGGAGACTGAATTTGAGTGCTTAAGCTAGCACAGATTGTCTGTAGCAAGTGTCTGCAGCTTAGCTCCAGTTGGTGGGAAAGCTTGCCTTCCAGGATAATGTGGGCTTCTTAAGCTAGGCCTCTGTTTCTGTTGATTTGGAACAAGCAGCTCTGCTTGTGGAGTCACATTCGGTGTTAATAATGATTTAGGAAGAGATTATTTTTAAGTACTTAAAAAGAAGGATCCCTTTGCATCCATTAATAAATGAAAATAGCACATAGATGTATAAAAATAATGCCGAAAAGGCTGAAATAGATGGTAATTCTTTCTTCAGTCCCAGTCTGAGGGAATTGAACATCGTTATGGTGAAATTTCAACAGGAACAGTATATTAAACAGCTGTTCCTAAACATAGACTCTTTAAATATGTATGTGCATGATTTGTCTTCAAGAGTTCTGAAAGAGCTGGCTGAGAGGTTCTCCAAATCCTTCATGTCACTCTTTATTTAGTCTTGAAATTCCAAGGACGACTGCAAATGCCATGCCAAAAATGAGAAGAGTGAAGTAGGTAATTGCAGCCCTAGTGACCAAATGCAGAGCTCAGCAAAAATACTGGGGAGCTGATACAGCCTGAATAGAAAGAATTGGGAAGGGAATATAATGAATATCAGGTAATATGGGCTGATGTAAAAGGATCTTTGCAAACCAGCATGGTATCATTTTCAGTGAAACCACAGCTTTGGGTGATAACATTAATATTTGTTCATTTTGTGTCCTTTGAAGCATCTGACATTGTATTGCCTGTTGTGATTTAAAAAACAGAGTAATACAAAATCAGCATAACACAAGGAAATGGCTGATAGGTCCCCAGATATCACTGCAAAGAGGCTGTGTGATATCAACCAAAAGACAAACACAGTCTGAGATGATGCTGAACAAGAAGAGCTTACTTTGCATCCATCCTGGAGATGTGCAAGAGCTGTTTCTGTGACCAGCTGTGATGAGTCTTGAAATAGCCTTGAAGTCAAATGCTGAAAACTGTCAAGTTCTGAAAAGAGGTTTAGAAGGATTGAAGGACTGGAAAACATAGAATTATGTAATAGCTAGGGTTGGAAAGGAACTTAAGATCATCCAGTTCCAACACCCCTGCCATGGGCAGGGACACCTCACACTAAACCATATCACCGAAAGCTGTCCAACCTGGCCTTGAACACTGCCAGGGATGGAACATTCACAGCCACCCTGGGCAACCTATTCCAGTGCCTCACCACCCTAACAGGAAAGAATTTCCTCCTTATATCCAATCTAAACTTCCCCTGTTTAAGTTTTAACCCATTACCCCTTGTCCTGTCACTACAGTCCCCAATGAAGAGTCCCTCCCCAGCATCACTATAGGCCCCCTTCAGATACTGGAAGGCTGCTATGAGGTCTCCATGTAGCCTTCTCTTCTCCAGGCTGAACAGACCCAACTTTCTCAGCCTATCTTCATATGGGAGGTGCTCCAGTCCCCTGATCATCCTCGTGGCCCTCCTCTGGACTTGTCCAACAGATCCATGTCCTTTTTATGTTGAGGACACCAGAACTGCACACAATACTCCAGGTGAGGTCTCATGAGAGCAGAATAAAGGGGCAGGATCACCTCCTTCGACCTGCTGGTCACACTCCTTTTGATGCAGCCCAGGATATGGTTGGCTTTCTGGGCTGTGAGCGCACACTGAAGCCGGCTCATGTTCAGTTTGTCATGGATCAACACCCCCAAGTCCTTCCCTCCACAGGGCTGCTCTGAATCTCTTCTCTGCCCAACCTGTAGCTGTGTCTGGGATTGCTCCGACCCAGGTGTAGGACCTTGCACTTGGCATGGTTAAACTTCATGAGGTTCACATCAGCCCACCTCACAAGTGTGTCAAGGTCCCTCTGGATGGCATTCCTTCCCTCCAGCGTATCAACCGAACCACACAGCTCAGTGTCACCGGAATAATTGCCACAGACTGAGACTGATGTGTCTGGAGAACAATGCAGGCATGACCTGCACAGTAAGAAGGAAGTGATGATGGACCAACTAATTAAATTAATCACGCAGACTAATACAACATTGAAGATGAACTCAAAGTTAATCAAATTCAGTGTGGTTTTGTTGTATATATGAAGGCTGAAACCAAGGTAGTGTCCCATGTCCAACAATTGCTACTACAAAACAGCAAAGTTCTAGGGCTATATGTTCTTCCATTCCTCAGGGAATTCCCAAAAGGTGGTGGTACCTGTGTAGCAAGCCTAACCAACAGCTCTTATTACACTTCGGGAGCCACCCAGACTGGTACAAGAATTTAGCTTGTACTGTGCCATGTGGCAAAGATTTCCTCATTAACCCACACGCTGGGTGAAGAAACATCTTTCATTTGTCTTGAATCTGACTTCTTCTTGTAGGGCTTGTACTGGAAGCAACAGTAGCAAAAGGGATTAAACTATGAAGCAGCTCATTGTGTGCCATGGGGGGTCTCCACAGTGCCATCTACACTGGCTGCGTTTAGAAACGTGGTCTTCTTCAGCCACTCTCTCGGGGATTAATTAAGAACCTTGCACTGCATAAGCAATCACCTTACAGTGCATAAATGACTTAATTGTGGCCTCAAAATAGAGAGTATGTAGCTGCAAATTTGCACAAGTGAACTTGTATGAGGTTTGGAGGCTCTTCTTGTGATTCACTGGCAGGTGTCAGGGCAGAATGGCTTCATGCAAGCCAAACCACCTTTGGAAGATAGGCATCTTTAAGCCTTGAGCAAGTTCATGCAAGTCCTCTGAAGAGCAAAGTATCTTCTTCAAGAAATTCTGCTGCTAGAAAACTGGATTTTTAACCTGTTGGTATCTGAATCGCACCACACATTGATCTCGTTTGCTTTAACACTTCTGTTTTCTCCTTTCCAGGTGGCTCACCAGCAGTGAGTATGAGCTCCAACATGTCCTTATCCAACCCAATTTCAACTCATAGCATCATGACCCAGAGCTCCAGCATCATGTCCACTCCTGCTGGGACCCGAATGCCTTCTGTTCCTGCCAATCGGAATATGGGCTGCTACGGGAACCTTCCTTGCAACCAACCAAGTTCATACAATGTGACTTCAGGAGTGAATCAGATGCAGCCACACAGGAACCAAAACCAAGTCCTGCCGGGTCAGAATAACCCCATGATGTCTCGACAGCAAACCATGGCACAGGGAAACAACGCAGCGGCTTTTGGGACGGGGTCGGTGGTCAACTCACAGCAAGTAAGGCCAACTTTGAACCATGGAGCTACAGGTATCCCTGCACAAAGGCCAGCCAACGTGATGATCACAGCTACTGCCACTGCCCAGAACTGGGCGCCGCAGGAGGCTGCAGTGAAGCAGCAGGATGCACTGAAACCCGCAGGAGTCCGTTTCCCCACTGGCACTCCATATCCTAACCAGTCTTTACAACGCAGCGTAGGCAACCAGCATTTTCCTCAGCGTGCACTGGCACCTCCTAATCAGTTAACAGCGGGAGTCCAGATGAGGCCTCCTCTAAACCAAATGCAGCAGACTATAAATGGACAATCCACTGGCTCACTACGAGGTCTCAGCTTAAGACCTAACCAGCTGAGAGGACAGACTGTGCCTACCTTGAATCAGCCAGGAACGAGTATGACACCTCCGTCATCTCTGCCATCAACCAGTTTCACATCTACCAACCAAAACTCCCGGGCTTACCAAGGAAGTGACCATGGCAATGACCTAGCATTTGACTTTCTGAACCAGCAAGGTGACAGTATAGGACCTGCACTCAACAGTGACTCAGACTTTATAGATTCTTTACTGAAAACGGAACCTGGTAACGATGACTGGATGAAAGACATCAACCTCGATGAAATTTTGGGGAACCACTCGTAAGTGACAGTACCAAGGGTCAACGAGATGAAGAGGCAGAAAGGACATTAGCTTTCTCTTTAGATGCCAACAACCTGCTTTATTAATTTACACTCCAATAACTGGGCTGTCCTTTAAGATACCATGCAGGGCGACTGCCCTGTTTGAAGAGTTGCTCTTGGGATAAAACTGAAGTCTCCCTGATGAATGATAGCATAAGTGATATTCATGCCTGCCACAAAGAAGTGAAAGCACGTGAAGGGTCTGTTCCCCACACCGGTGCCCAGCACATTGCAAACCAGTTCTTTCCAAGGGAGCAACATGGAGAAAAATGTTTAGCCTCCCACACATGCAAGCACCAGACAGTGGTTGTGGAACATCATTTCTCTGTGTGCGAAGTACGAACCCAAGTGGTCCAGAGCTCTTCAGCCATCATGTTCATGGCCCTTAACTTCCTCAGGACCACTCAGCCCTGATGGCATCAGGCCCTGTGTAAATCCCATGTGTTACAAAAACTGTTCACTTCTACACAGTACAAACTCACATGTGCTTTCCCAATGATTTTGGTTTAAGCCCTATATGTTTTGTAGCACACAAAAGGGTAAGTGGTCTCGTCCAAGGGAAGAAGGAAACAGATCATCCAGTGTTTTACTTGGTGTGCTCTAGAGTTCACTTCCTCCCTTTCATTAGTGCTTGCAGCACCTATCAGAGGATGCTACTGTCCTGCCAGCAGCACAATCACTTTGGGCACTGAGGGAAATGAGATGAACTACACCAAAGCTCAGGATCCTGACTTTGCCACCTTGCCCTATCCCAGGGACTCCAGGGATTTAATGGACAACTTAAGTGAGAATGGTGCTCATGGTTTGACCCTCACCAACTACTTTCCCAGCCCAGCTTAGAGGAGGGCAAGTACATGAAGTGGCTCAGCTAAGCTGCTATCCTCTTTAGGTAGTTCAGCCCAGTCCTCTTCAACTGAACAGGTTTACCCCAGCAGAAATGCCAGCATCTCTGTCCAGGAAAGGCTACAGTTCTGACTGCACAGCATTTTGTCTCTATCCTTCTATCCCTTCGCCATATGGGGAGAGCTGGAAGAGGTCCAGTAATGGCCCAGGTCCCCACAGCCTCCATCAAGCAGAGTCTGAGTGGCTCTGCCCCTGAAACTGGCATGAAATCAGTTACAACCACCTGGGATACTCACAGGAGGAGGCTTCACTCAGACACATCTGTGTATGTAAATGAGACAGTTTGGGGCAATATTTCTGGGTGCTGGACTCAATCATCTGTTCTGGGTTTGGGGATGGTCCAGTTTACCAGTGCATCATGAGGGTGTTAACCCTAGGCAAGGACCATCCCTGTAGACAGCTGGCAGCCACCTTGCAGCCACCAGAGGCAAACAACAGAGCAGGGAGGGTATAGGTTGTTCCAACCGCTCGGTGACAGGGAATAGTCTCAACCATGTTAAAAGTTTCTCCTACAGACTTGGTCAGTGAGGACATCAGAAGGAGGTGCTGTGTCACTGTAAAGCAGCTCTGCAGGGAGTCACACAGGAGAATTCACAGAAGGGAACACACCTTACAGGTCAAATGAAAATGCTGTTCTTTAAAATGATGTGGTGTGATGTCTTTTACAGCATCCTCTGAATTAGCTAAAATGAGATATGGCAAAGGAATACAATGCCTGCATTCACACGCCTCGGTGCCAAGAGGCATTGCTGTGCCCCATGCAAGTTCTTTATTCATTCTTGTTAGTGACACTGGGATGAGTAGACTACTTGACAATAGCCTCTGCACTTATCTGACCTAGTTCTCAAGACAGGCTTTAATAAGGCTTTTCCAGTCATTTCACCCTGTCATTCTGTGTGGGCACAATTGTTCATGATGTTTCAAGAAGCTGGTGCACAAACAAGCACCAGAGCCTCCAGGAAAGGTGTAACACAGCATTTAGCTAGATGTGCCAGCTAAGGTGGGCTGGTCTGTGACACGTTTGTCATTGGAGAGACAAGAAAGCCTGCTGAAGAGTCCCTTCTGCTGTCCCAGCTAGTGATGGTTGCACACCCCTGCACTGTGTAACGTGGTGGCTCAGCTGCCCAGAAAGCTCCCTCTTGTCTCCAGTTTGGCTGGGGTGCACATGGTCCCTTTGGTATGCCATTACAAGATTTTCCAAGTCTTTAAAGAGCTTTTCAGCCCAGGTCAGCATCCCACCTCAGTTTGGAGATACAGATGCAGTCCAACAAATGAGTCCCCAGTAAACTAGACTGAAATAGCAGCTACATCAGTTCAAAGTGGAGGGAAGACAGGCTCATGCGGCTCATACAGAGGCAAGCACCACACCCGTGAGCAGATCAGCACTGACTGCCAAAGCTCTGGTAGGAACAGACAACTGCAATGATGCTCAGGCCAAGGCTGAGTTGGTATCTTCACGCGCAATGGCCACTGAAGTCAGATAACTTCAGCTACCCTCACATGCCATTGAAGAGGCCACCACTGGTTTCTGTATTAAGACAAGACTGTTTTCCAGATCCTCAAATGATGTAAAAAAATAGTTCAGCTGAGGAGCTGGTCCCAAGGATTCAGGATATCATCCGGTGGTGGATTCAAAGCTGAGCTTTGCCCTGTTGGCCTCAGCATAGAGCGAAGAAGACACTGGGCTGTGAGTGCCATTCCTGGGATCAAAATGTCAACCTGTCTGAAGTAAATTCTACAAAAGCAGAGGCCATTTGCAGTCCTGCTGCATCTGGAACGTGAGCTCAAAAGACTCTTGCAACCAAAACTTGAATCCAGTATCATTTCTTCAGAACACCTGTATCTGAACAGAGCTAGTGTCTTTTTCCTCTTTCTTTGCCATGGCTAAGTGCACTACCCTTATAGTCTATTTTTCATCATGGACTGAGCACTCTTCGCAGTATTGGGTTGTAAATATAAAGAATTATTTGTTTTGTAAACTTTTGTAAAAAAAAAAAAAAGAAAAACCAACCAAAAAGTAATAATATTTTGGTAGGAATAATAAAAATCATATTATTTGGGTTATATTTATACATATGTGAAATAAATACACTATCGAAAAGTTGTATTTTATACAAGAAGTCAACGGTTACCTTTTGTATTCTATATACAAAGTTTTGTATGATACGATTGTTTATTTTTATCTGCAGACTTCAACTTTGGGTTTTGGGGGAGGGCAGAATGGGATCGTGGTTCAACAGCTGGGTCTGACCCCAAGCTCACCGAAACCAATGGAGTCTTTCCATTGCCTTCACAGGGCTTTGAATCAAGCCTTTAAATCGCCTTCAGATACGTTTGACATCTGAAGCTCTCTGGAAACCTCAACATGAAAACATTCCAGGTTTCACATTTTTTCCCTGAAAAAAGGCTTTTATTATTAATATTATTATTATTATTGTTACTATTACTGCAGCTCTTGGGAGGCAGGTGGGACCTATGTAACTGTCATGTCCTTGTTGCATGTATGTCTGCTTTATATTTTCCCCATATTATAAACCAGTGTTTCTCTATACAGACTGAAAGGAAACGTTGCTGTACAGAAATGTTTGTGTTTATGCATTTTTACATGTGGCTGTATATACCTCCTAGTACTATGCAGTGACACTTATTTGACTCCATTTATTTTTCACCTAAACATGAATAGTATGTTTTTCAGTAGCTATCAAAACTCTGCCAAGTAAATCAATCAAAATTATCCCAAGCGTCTCATTTCTTAATGTGGATTTTATAACGGATGTCTGTTTAGTCAACTGCTGGTTTGTTCTGAGTACATTAAAATTACAGTGATATTTTAGGAGGGGGGTGAGAAAAATGTGCATCTGGCAGCTTCTGGGAGCTCCGTCTGCTTCTTTGCAGGAGAGCTGTGATGTTTTCCTACTGACTGAAGACGTGGTTTCGTTATCCGCAAGGGTTAACAAGTAACACATGGTATTTTAGCTCCTGAATGGGTTGGCGTTGTCTTGCAGCACAGTGATTTCCTATGGGATCCTGCTAAAGTTGAAGCAGAGAACTAGGTACCCCAAGAGGGTTGGCCAGGTCCCCAAGTCCATGCCCTGCCCCTGTCCATGCCTTTCTCTCCCCACTAGTGGAGACCACTAATGAAATGTCAGAAACCAGACAATGGGCTTCTCCTCCTTCCCTCCCTGCTTGCCTTGCTTTATTGCCTCATTTTAGCCTAAAGAAATGCCAGCGTGCACCAGATCACGTTAGGCTGTGGATTGTATTCATCCCTGCCAGACTGCTTTTAGCAGGCCAGCCCTGAAGAAGTGATGTCCTTCCTGTTCCTTGAGAGGCTTTCCTCTTTACCCAGGCTCTATCTTCAAATGGGTGACTCTTTCTTTCTCTTCATGAACTGGGTGGCAAGGGGTAGCAGAGAGGATGCTTCGAAGGGACAAATGTCAGCACAGAACTATCCATGCTCGAAGTCTGCTGTTTTCAGATGTAGCAAATGAAACAGGGCTCCCCACACTTCAATTGCTTCACTGCTGGTGATGCTCAAGGGCTTCCATGAAGCACATGTTCCCCTGTCCCCACCTTCACCCATGAGGCATGCACAAAGATGCCTTCATGGCTGCCACCCAGGACCCCAGCTCTGCTGGCTGCTTCCCTCCTGGGTTTTTATCCCAATATATCTGATTCCCACTCACAAATAGCTCTACAAATAGCATCTGGGGCTGCACAGGGAGGGACAGGGGAGGGATGCTGGCTCATGCTCTGTGCCCTGCCATCCTGGCTGTGCCCATGCTCTCCATCCCGACTGGAGATGCTGAAGCACCAGGAGGTGCATGGCTCATGCCTTGCTTCAGCATCTCCAGCACAGGTGGCAGACAGTGGTCCTCTTGCACTCCAGGGCACTGGAACATAGGGCACAGCCCCGCATACCCAAGAGTATGTCTGAAATAGGTCAGTGAGCTGAAAAACAGCCAGGGACCCCTCCCAGGCCCTGGAGCACAGCCTGTGCCACCAGGCTGTGAAGGTCCCTGGTAGCGATAGTCTGCAATGATCATCCTCCCAGACAGGTCCTGCAACCAGGAACAATTCCCTCTTTGGATGCAGGATAAGAGGTGTAAGAGGGTATAACAATATGGACACAAGTCACCCTGTGCCACCTCCATACCATCCACAGATCAGTCTCCTGTGCCCAGATTGATGTTTGCAACAAGAACACATGGAGGGTTTGGGAGACATGGGTGGCAGTGA